ATTTTAAGAAAAGTCAATAGCAATAAATTTCTTTTGACATATGAAAATAAATTACCCGTGCAATAAATCCAATAGCGATGACTGTCATCAATCTCCAGCACAGTTGTTATCTTGGCACCACAACGGTAACCCAGTCTAAAAATTATAAAAACAAATCAAATTAATACTGCCGTTACCCTAATAATATTAACGATTTAAAGATTATCATAATTCAAAAATAATCATAAAGGGAATAACAAATACGGGCAAACAAAAAATTACAAATATAACAATTGCAAAATTGAAATAATTTACAAAACGCGTTAATTATTACAGTCATTAAAATTAAATATTTAATAATTATCACGACTCAAGGATAAACAAGGGAAATTAGGTTTTAAAATATTGAACTAAATAGTTATATAGAAGTAAGTCTACAATAATCGAATTTTATTCAAAATAATTGAAAACTACATATATTATAAAATATATATTTTATAAAACTATATTTTACAATTATTAAATTACAAATATTTTAGAATGATCGAGATGTAGATCGTAATTCAAAGTAGAGAGTTCCTGTGACAGCGAAGAAGTCTTCAATTGACTTCATTTGAATGAATAATTAATGGATTTTAATTATCACGACTGCTGTACAACAATAGTCGATTACACGTTTTAATGAATACTCGAGAACACCAAGAAGACGTTCATGAGCGCGAATAAATAAATACGATAACGAAAAGGAATATTTTATGAATTTATTCAATACACATTGCAGTCGCCAAGGGATAGATAAAATATCGACAGACCGCTTTATTTAACAAATAAAAATAAAGAATTACCCGTGTAATAAATCCGTTGTCGATCAGAGCCCCGGCAGCACTTTGGTCCAACAGGCCGAGCCGTTATCGAAGCATACCACGTCAGGACGCAACAAACGCCGTCTAAAAGTTGTAAAATCAAATAAATTATTACTGCCATTACAACGATTTTGAAATTATATCGATTACAATCGTTGTAAAAACGTCAGCGCACAGGTTTTTTTTTCGTTTTTTTTTAACGAACAGAAATACGTTACCCGTTTAATAAATCCGTTGTAGATTGTTAACAGCACTATTGATTGAGCCAGCACTCTCGGCCAACGGGTCGAACCATTATCGAAGCAGTCTTCCGGGCACACGACAAACGCCATCTAAAAATTACAAAATCAAATCAAATAAGACCGTCACAATATCGACAATTAATAAACTACATTGATCGTAATCGCCGTAAAATTACCAATCGCGAGTTTCGATTAATATATAATCGCCGTAGTAGTAGAAAATTTACGAAATCACATTAATTAACATTAATACAGTCAGTACTACTAATAATAATAACGAAATAATGAGAAAAAAATTCGATTATTGTAGACTTACTTCTATATAACTATTTAGTTCAATATTTTAAAACTTAATTTCCCTTGTTTATCCTTGAGTCAGATAATCAAGTAATCGAATAACTAGGTCAATTATTAACCTCTATAGTGTATACGTTGCATTCACCTAATTGCCATTTTGCCATCTCGTCATTTTTCATAGCCATTCATAGCCAGTCATCACTAACGCCACTGCCACGCCACAGCCACGGTCAATGTCACGACCATTACCATGACTTTTGTCATTTTATTTTGAGGCACAGTCCCTTTTAATAGAACATCCAAATCACGACTTCAACATCTTCGTATAATTTCGTATGTAGCGACTTGATCACCGAGACATCAAATTATCACGATTCGTGCAATTTTATGTTCTATCCTCCCTTTGGTGACGACCATTGGATGAGTAATTTCTAGCTAGAAAAATAAGTCCTTATTACTATTACTATTGAAATATATAGTATTGTTATATTATTATTATTTTGGGGCCCCAGCCACATTACAGCATTGTCGGTTTATTTATTATATTGTGGCATATATTTATTTATATTCGGCAGGTCCGATTGATTTATTTTATTGTGGCATATATCTATTTATATTCGGCAAGTCCGATTTATTTATTATATTGTGGCATATATTTATTTATATTCGTCATTTGAATTTTATTCAAAATAATTGAAAACTACATATATTATAAAATATATATTTTATAAAACTATATTTTACAGGTAGAATGATCGAGATGTAGATCGTAATTCAAAGTAGAGAGTTCCTGTGACAGCAAAGAAGTCTTCAATAGAATTATTGATTAAGATGACCCGTCGAATGAACCTCAAAGAATGACTTCATTTGAATCAATAATTAATGGATTTTAATTTAAGTGGTTTAAGCAATTTTTAGAATATAAGATTATACAGGGTGATTTTTTTATCATAACCCACTCAATTACTTGCAAAATAATAATAATTTAAACATTTTTTTTTTTTATTATCTTAAGTTACACATTATTCTTGAATTTTTAACTATGTAATACTTTTTAAGTTCATCCCTTATGCCTTGGAAGGGGGTCAACTTTGTTTTTTTAAATGGTAACACATATTTTTAATTTAATAAAATGTTTGAGTTTTTAATTTAATAGTAAATGGCATTTGAATTTTTAATATAACTTTATTAGTTTATTAGATATAAACATTTAAAGTTTCAAAATTTTGAGTTAATATACATGTATAATACACATGGGATTGTAAATACAGGTAGCTAATTGGATTTTTATGACATTGCTGTCTCAGTCACGGATTGTTTATTATCAATTATGATTATCAATAGATATACTTTCTGTATTGTCAGTTAGTGTATTTATAAACTCATAACAATGTGCCTTACTACAATTGATAATAACAATGCTGTGTACCTGCTAATATCGATGTTATAAAAAACCAATTATTAGCTACCTATATTTGTAATCCCTTGTGTATTATACCTGTATATTAATTCAAAAATTTGAAACTTTAAATGATTATATCTAATAAACGAATTAAGTTATATTAAAAATTCAAATGCCATTTACTATTAAATTAAAAACTCAAACATTTTATTAAATTAAAAATATGTGTTACCATTTAAAAAAACAAAGTTGACCCCC